CAGTCCATCAGAGGACATATCACTGATTCTCTCAAGGTCAATTTGCAGCCAGGACATATCCCTGATTCTCTCAAGGTCAACTTGCAGCCAATAACAAGGTGGTTAAAAAAAAAAAAAAAAACATCATATCAAGCCGTCAATTCTTATTTGCCGGGTATTGGAGCTGCACTGTAACCATGACAACAAGGGAGGAGATGGTTAGCAGTGGTGTAGGACGTACGTCATAGAAAAGGAAAGGGGGTCTTGTTCAGATGGTTCACTCGTACACTTACAAATCACAATTTTCGGACGTTAGGGCAATTATGATAACCGGTGTTTATACATCTACAGGCAAGAACATTTCATCTAATCCAAAACGAACTGCAAGGAAAAAAAAAATGCAGATGCGGAGAAGAAAACGTCCGTCATTTCACCTGCTTCAAATCGTATTTTCCAGTCTTTGCTGTTGAAGTTTGTGTTGATGAGGTTCCAGAAGATGTCCGCCCCGTGGGAGAGAGAGAGGGCGTGGAGGAGCTGAGGCACCGCCAGAGAGGCCAGCTGGCAAAACTCGGACTTCAACATCGACCACAGACTGAAACAAAAATAGAAACGTGTGGCATTTATCATTCTTACTTTGTTAATGTGTTCGGAGCTGCGTGTGGGCTGGCGTGGATGTAAAGGTGGCATTTTGCACCAACCTTGGGATGAGCATTTTTTCCTGGATGTAGGCCAGAAACTGGGGGTGATCCTTACGGGCGAAGTACAAACACTCCCCGTGCAGACACAAGATCCTCAGACAGTTCAGCATGTTTTTTTTTTTTTTTTACTTCACCAAGCACACTGTGCGTGTATGTGGCTTTTATTTATTTATTTTTCTTTATTTGGCTGCTGGCGCCGGATAATGTTACTGCTGAATATTCATAAACTGTAATGTTTTCTGAGCAAATTAGGTGGGCTGGATTGCTAACATCACAGTCTCACAAATTCAGAGTGCACCAAGACATCTTGGGTTTAGTTCACCTTTGAGGGAAAAAAAAATACACAGAAGATGGGATGTTGTAAGAAATGTTTAGGCCGGGATTAAGACTAAAATGGAGACCCTGGACTTTGCTTCGTAAGCTACATTTTGTTGTTGTTGTGGTGCTGATATTTTTGTGGGTTTTTGTCATGTGGTTATGTTGTTGTTCTTGTCTCTTGTTGTATGTATTAATGTTGGTAACTAAAAAAAAAAAATGAGACCAATCTAAATCACTGCAAAAATTTGCGACCTACAACCCATAACACTCAATCAAAATGTGAGCAATCGTTTTGAGGGGGGAAATGAAAATACACCCCTGAAAAAATGTGGGTGCAAACGTGTACACAAGTTCTTATAATTGAGAACGCGGCTGTGTTCAAAAATTACCAATCACATTCAAAATTAACCTTGGTTTGATCAGACCAGAATACATTTTCTCCAGTGCATTTAGGAACCTTTTGGCCGTGATTTCAAAAGGTATGTCTGGAGCAATCACCGCTTTGCTCAATACTAAAAGAACACATGCAGGATACATTTGAGCGGAGGGGACTAAGTGACCAATCCACACTACTCACATTGTCGGTTGCTCAGTGATTCGGGGAGTGAGAATGCCCGCTTGGACTCTGGCGGGCCGCCCTTCACGCTGTCACGCAGTGAGCGTACGCTCTTCTGCTGGTTCCTGGCAAAGCGCGCCCGTCGTATTTTCCACATTGCTGCATCGCTGAGGTTCGCCACATTGGTTCGCACGGCAGTGATGGCTGTCAAAAGACAGGTTGTTAGGAATTTAGAATATAAATGGACTGTGATGTGGCTGTCGCAAGTAAAACGAAGGTGTGGGACTTTGGCGTTATCATACTTGTAGGAAAAGGGAACTCCTTATTACAGTCCAGGTGCAACTGAGCCTCCAGTGATAATGTTTCAAAGCGGTTGACGAAAAACTCCCAGCTGAGAGCAGGTACGTCTTTCTTCAGGAAATGAAGCAAAAGTAGTTTGCTGAGGATGACGGGCCGATCCCTCACGACAGTGTCAAACTGGAAATCCAGGCAGAGACACAAGCCCTGCATAGCACAACGCCAATAAGTGCAGGAACACAAAATGTTGCACAAATACAAAACTGAAATGAATTCCTGGTAATGCAGCCCATTTCAGAGGACATATCACTGATTCTCTCAAGGTCAATTTGCAGCCAGGACATATCCCTGATTCTCTCAAGGTCAACTTGCAGCCAATAACAAGGTGGTTAAAAAAAAAAAAAAAAACATCATATCAAGCCGTCAATTCTTATTTGCCGGGTATTGGAGCTGCACTGTAACCATGACAACAAGGGAGGAGATGGTTAGCAGTGGTGTAGGACGTACGTCATAGAAAAGGAAAGGGGGTCTTGTTCAGATGGTTCACTCGTACACTTACAAATCACAATTTTCGGACGTTAGGGCAATTATGATAACCGGTGTTTATACATCTACAGGCAAGAACATTTCATCTAATCCAAAACGAACTGCAAGGAAAAAAAAAATGCAGATGCGGAGAAGAAAACGTCCGTCATTTCACCTGCTTCAAATCGTATTTTCCAGTCTTTGCTGTTGAAGTTTGTGTTGATGAGGTTCCAGAAGATGTCCGCCCCGTGGGAGAGAGAGAGGGCGTGGAGGAGCTGAGGCACCGCCAGAGAGGCCAGCTGGCAAAACTCGGACTTCAACATCGACCACAGACTGAAACAAAAATAGAAACGTGTGGCATTTATCATTCTTACTTTGTTAATGTGTTCGGAGCTGCGTGTGGGCTGGCGTGGATGTAAAGGTGGCATTTTGCACCAACCTTGGGATGAGCATTTTTTCCTGGATGTAGGCCAGAAACTGGGGGTGATCCTTACGGGCGAAGTACAAACACTCCCCGTGCAGACACAAGATCCTCAGACAGTTCAGCATGTTAAACAAGATGTCAGGCTCTTCAAACTTGAACATTTCCTGAAAAAAAACAACCCCTCCCCCCACCAACAAAGTAAACCACCAAAACCACAAATTCCTCAAGGCAATTTCTATCTGCGCTTAAGTTTACCTGCAGGATGGTGTATATAAGTTTCAAAGACACAGGAAGTTGCTGGTAGGAGAACCTCTTATCTGAGTTGTTCTTCAGAGCTGCAAAGAAAGAGAATAATTTTTCAATCCAATTCTTCCAGACCACCTGAATCCAGTTCCTGCAACATGGGAAGTACTTTTTAATGTACATAAATATTCAATAAAATAATCACGCTGTTCAAAACTAACAAAAACATTGTAGCTGCCTTGAAGGTAGCAGAAGAACCCCCTTGATGAGTTAACTTTTCTGTTCAAGACCTTTGACGGTCTCATGTTGCTATCATGCGTGGACAAAGGTGTCTGTAGCATATTTAATATTTGAAAATAAATATACACTGTATATATACATTATTCCAGTAGGCAAGGCTAAATGTTGGCCTTCCGAATATACAACTGTCACCACTTCGGGTGCAGAGAGCCTTCAGCTATTGTTTATTTAGCCACATCTGATGTTTTGTTTTTTTTTGTGCACAGTTTGTCCTGTGACAGGATGCAAGATGGGGATGACACTTACGTGCAGTATCAGGAGAGTGGTTGTTGGGGTTGTCAGTGTGTGCCGCGCTTGGGTTGTCTTCTTCCTCACTTCCGTTCTCCGCTCCAAGGGAGAAATCTGGCTGAGGAAGCAATAATGTTTCCTCTAAACTATCTGTCGGTTCCTGCGGAGAAAATCGGTCACATGTTTCCCCATCAAGACAGAAGATGAGTCGGGGTGTTTGGGGACACGGCGTGCTATTTAAAAGCTTTAGTCGCTAACACACAGGGTTCATTAAGATTCAGTGGAATAAAAATGCACGCTGCGTCTCACCACCAGGCGTATCTCTTCCCGGGGGGTCAGCCTTTCCAAAAGCTCGCAGCCCAGCTGGTAACAGAGGATGCTGGATTGGCAAAGGCTGCACTCCAGGGCCTTCTCATCCTTCTGGCAGGTGTGCGAGCCCCCCCACGGGGCTTGGAAGACATTGTTGATGATCCCTACAATATCTTTCCCCAGGCTGGTGTCTAAACCGAGCATCACACCGTCATCTTGCAGCTCCATCTGGGACAGCAAGTGGGGAGATGGCCGTTAAAAACACAGAAAAGGAAGCGGAGCACGACGCACCAATCTCCAGATCCCACCTGTGAGCGTTGTTGGTATCGCTTTGTTGCACTTGTCACGACTTGAGTGACAACTATATACGGCGCTCATTACACTTCTATGTACAATACATTTAAGAAGGTCACCTGTTTTAGTATGAGGTCAAACATGAGGATGAAACAGCCCAAGTTCATGTCGTCGTCGTCACAATCTAAATCCAAGGCACAATGGCCAGTGGCGTGGCCCAGGTTTTTAAACGGACTACAGCGTAGCGGACTGCGGAACGGGCTCCTGAAAGGACTTGGGAACGGGCTGAGGGTGTTGTGTTGCCCGCGGCGCCCCGGATCTGACACCACACTCACCTACATGGACAGAACCCATCATAATACCATCATGTATTCCTGTATGGTGCTTGCCTTTAAAAGCATTCAACTTGATCATTGTACATTCCCAAAAAAACACAACATAAAACCGGTAACATTTCGTTTTTGGTAATATTCCATCATCAACAAGTCATGTTAGCCATGTACAGGTAGCTTGACTTGCAGCTTCTCTGCGCACGCATGTTAGTGAGCTGTTGGCATTTCTTTGGGCAGAAGGAGAAGTGAAGTGTGGCTACATTTTACGAGCAGCTGCAAGACTTATATACGACAGCGCTAAAATACAGTATACTGTATTAACATTCAAACTGTTTCCTTAACCGTTCAAATTTCAAATATAGCATTTTTTAATGAATAATCTGTATCTCCATTGTGTATGATGTATTTCATCAAATTAATTAATGATTATGTCTTTGACATGTTTTTAGGTAATAACGGATGACGTATGTGGCACATCCATGCTGAAAATTTCAGAAAAGTACATAAGTTTAAAATGTTATGGCTCAGCCCTGGCATGTCAGTCAGACTGCATTGTAAATGTAAATGGGAGCGTTACATCTATATTGCAAGTTAAGTTAAATGAAGCTCTTTCGGGATTCTATATTTAGAATTTGGCAGTTCCCATGGCAACATCCAGTACATCTCGGTGAATGGGAGAAATCAAATCCAACAGCAGTTCGAAAGCGTTCAGTCTTTAGAAAACCCAGGCGTCCATGAATTGACCTTCGAGTGATGTAATGTAACATCAGAGCTGTACTTGTTTTAATGTTTTCACGAGAGTGCTGGGAATGATACAATGTTTACATAAATGCCTCAAAGTAAGTTCACTTTTTTTTTCTCCTCACCCTGCGAGCTCCAGTGTTGCTAGTCAGATCGGAGAAACGTGCCTTCCTCTGATTGGCCAGCTCCTTCAAAGAATTCACGCCATCTGAGAACATCCCAATTAGCAACTGCAGAGGCACCACGATATCCAGCTCTGACAGCACCTAGGACCATTCATTTAAAGGGACCTGTGAGTTTGAAGACTGCTCGGACACCATTAAATAAAAAGCGTCATATTGATTGATATTTCTATTTGAACAAAAAGAGTGTGACCATGTTTCAAGTTTTGTGTTTTGCTTGGTTGGTCTGTCTGCATTTACGCAACAATGACGATGCAAATGTGCTGCAAATCGTTTTTAACACAGCAAATGATTTTTTTTTTTTTTTTTAAATAGTGGGACATGACATATAACAGTGGCAAACCACCACTTCTCTCTATGATCCGAATCTGACCTATTTACTAAATCTAAATTAATGCAGTCTCTCCATCACAGTTGTGTCAGAAAACTTGAAAATGATCCACGGTGGCAAGCTCTAAGTGCATATGGGATAGAAGCCCAAATCTCTCCTCTCTCTCTGTCTCATTCTGTGACCCAGATCCATATTCAGCAGGCTCCTGCCCAGACTTGACACTCTACGACAACCTGTTCAATTCACACGCGCTGTGGACAGAACCACGGGATGGTCAATGGGAAGACAGCGTGAGTCTGTGTGTGGGTGTATGCGTACATGCAACCACAGCAGAGCCTGCTCTTGCACGGACGCCGGATAGCCGGAAAATCTGCAGCTGATGAAGCCAAACATTTCTTCCATGGAGAAGGGAAGGGGGCAGAGCTCAATGTCAAACATCTTGCTGCATGAACAAGACAGAGGGGAAAAAAAAATGTTGCGAATTATCCAGTCCAAAACCATGACATGTTCAACAGCTCAGCTTCGAACTAGAAAACAAGGTTGCGCGTATGTGAACATAATTAGGCACTATATTCTAATTTCAAAAGTGGTTGGCAAATATATTCATCACATTTACTACCCAGTGTTAGGAAGAGAACAAAAATATTAATACACTGCCCCACTTTAACTGAAGGTGTTTGGGAAAACTAGGACAATGCTGTCATGGGCAGCGCCTGCTCTTAAACATCCATCCATCCATCCATTTTCTGATCCGCTTATCCTCACGAGGGTCGCGGGGCTTGCTGGAGCCTATCCTAGCTGTCTTTGGGCAGTAGGCGGGGGACACCCTGAACTGGTTGCCAGCCAATCGCAGGGCACACATAGACGAACAACTATCCCTGCTCACACTCACACCTAGGGACAATTTAGGGTGTTCCATTAACCTGCCACGCATGTTTTTGGAATGTTGGACCAAAGCAGAGTACCCGGAGAAAACCCACGCAGGTACGGGAAGAACATGCAAACGCCACACAGGAAGGCCAGAGCCAAAATCGAACCCTGCACCTCTGCATTGCGAGGTCGACACGCCTACCAGTCGACCACCGGGACCACCACTTAAACATTAGTTACTCAAATATTGTATGTACTTAGATACTTGAATGACGGTCATATTTACCTTAGGACTTCCCGGAACTCTTTGAGCTGCTGGTCGGGCACCTCTGTGCGGATGGCCTCCAGCCACTCAGGCATGAAACATTCCCAAAGTGGTTGGCTGATGACATTGTAAGGAATCAGGCACAGGATGCGGTTTAGACCCTCCTTCAGTTGGGTCACTGTGCTACAGGACTTGTCCCAATAACCTCCAACCTAAGAGCAATATACAATGCACAACCCAATGATTGACTGGTAATGCAGCCTACCACATTGTTTTAAGTGGCCCGCAAAGGCATATTATGTGTGTCGAATTCAAGTTTCTTGCTAAAATACCAAAACTGCAAATTGTCTTCACTTTTAATAACATTGAGATATTGCAAGAATTTGATTTTATCATAATTGAGTGAATTCCCCTTTTAAAACGAACTAAAAAATAGTTGAATTTTTTTTTACTGGCTTCTGATTTCAAAACAAGTCACCCATCAATTTCTTTCATAAATGTGATAATATGAATCATCATACAGTTACACTGATTCATAGTTGTAATGGCCCTGTGAGGGAAATCATAACTACAATGTGACCTTACCCTGGCAAACTCGACGGGTTTGGGCAGGAGACACATGACCATGACGTCAAATCGCACATCACACACCGTCTTTAGCCACTTGGTGACAAACTGTGGCTTTAGTTTCTCTACCAGGCTTCCCACCTCGTCGTCCATCATGTAGGCGGTAGAGTGAAACCACTGGAAGACCATACTGACCAGCCGGGCCAGACTCTCAGTGGGTGTGTTCTCATTGGGGGTACACAGGCTCACCTGTGCATGGAAGTGACGTTCAGAGAAGCAGAGCAATAAGCCACATGGTTGCGATAAGAACGTGCGTTTCCTTATCTCATGTTCCCTGTTATCGACAGACATGGCAACGGGCCTTCAGTACACACCAGGAACCAGATGCCAAATTGACTGAGGAGTCGCTGGTCGTGCTGGTCGTCCTCCTTGTTATCAAACTCAATGTTGTCCAGAGAGTGGTGCGAGGAAGACATGCCCATCTGCCGTCGCCTGTTCAGCTCAAACTCGCGTTGCTCTGCATGGATTTCAGCCTCTTTCAGCAAGCTGGAGAAATATGGAGGGATAGTAAAGGACACACTCCCTGGATGCAACACACAAACACACATCAGATGGGACAGCAGGAATACCATCTGCGGACATCTAATTGAACATTAACATTATTATTGTGGTTGAAGTTTGCCGTGAGTGGAGAAATGCCACATATCAGACTCAGCTGTTTCTTAAATGTTCTCAGTTACAAAGTGCTGATGTAAATCACGATCAATTACAACCACAATAATTAACATAAAAGGAAAGCTTTGATCAGACAAAAAGCAATATTTTTTTATATTATCTAGTTATTTATCCAGCTGATAATAATAATAATAAAACACATCTTAGTATAAAGTTTATGATGATACTCGTGTAGCCTGTACTACCGGAGACAAATTCGTTGTGTGTTCTACATACTTGGCCAATAAAGATGATTCTGAATCTGAATCTGATTCTGATGAGGCATTTTAGTTCTTCTTGTTTTCTGATAGTAACAAATGATTATTTCTGTAAAGGCTGATTTGTTTGATGCAGCTCTTGTGCTGGGTTGTGAGTTTGCAGATGCACCTAATGTATTGTCCATAGAATGTTCAGTAAAACAGGAGTTATGCTAATCCTGATTTAACAAGTCTCCATCTTCATCTATAGCCCAATTAACAGGATCAGGGAGATGTGAATTCACCTTATAACAGCTTCCACGGTGCAAACTAGCTCCTCTGCCCCACACTCCCGAGTGTTGATCGGAGGAGGGGAAGTCTGGTACAGATGAGTCTCCGCCGCAGCCCCCACCTCGCTACTGTGGTGGTTGACATGGCAACGCTTGCAATAGCGGACAGGACGGTTACCATGACGCCCACAGCAACCGGCCGAGAAGCAGGTGACCACAGCCCTCCTGACGTGAGAGCTACAGTTCTGAGAAGACGCGGGTCCAAGTCATGAAGGGGAAGACACTCGACAGTTTCTGATTCCTGATGTGACATTCATATCATGACAAGTCTCAAAATCACCGATGCATTTGCTGAGAAACATCCATCCCTCCACATCTGCTGGGATTTATAAAAAAAAAAAAAAATCTTTTTGCGTCCCCACTGTCTCAGGCTTCTAAAAATAAAAAAGCATGGCACGAGGGAGCCATCCTAATCTGATCTGCCTCTAATCTATTGCCATTAGAGGGATGCAATGCAGCCGATCAAATTAACATATTTGTCCTCAGATGGTAACGGCCCTCGTTCAATCACCCATCTTTCAGCAGTGCTGCACGCCTGACGTTGCATTTCTAAATGCTCACGATATTTTGAAAGATTTGGGACCGCTGGCGTGTTCACGATGGACAATATGACACGCAATGAGCGGAAGGAATGATGACTCAATTAATAATGAAAGCTCCGGTGTAAATCCAGGTGGGAGTTGAAAGGGCTTTCTGAGATGAGTGGAGCAAAGCCTGCTTGCAAAGGAGGAAAGGATGTGGATGTGGATTAAATGTTCTGGACAAACTGGTTGGAGGCAGGCTGTTTCCATTGACAACGCACAGTTGCAAAGCCTGACTGCTGACTGGAATCCTGGAGATCATCTCACATTCAATATTCCAGTTGTCGTTCGGGAGCAATCACTTTGTTTAAGCCCCATCAGCAAAATCAGATGCACCCCTCTCAGTTTCATTTAGAGATTATTTTACATGTGTACTAAGTTAAATGAATGCACTGTGAATCGGGGGAACACATTTTACTTCTCCCGCTCTACCTTATTGCACAATATACGGACCACATACAGTTACTATAAGCCCAGAAGTAATTAAACCGTGACAAAAATTTGAAGCTTAAGTTAATTTTCATTTGATGATTTGAAATCATGTGACTGGAAATGTCACCAGAAATAAAGAGAAATTAATGTCAAATCATATTTTTTTTCAACCCACCCCCCAATAGCTGTACCACGACCAGGGAGGTGATTTAAAACATATAATAAAGATGATACAATAATTTATTCAATGAATTGATTTCTACACTGATTCAGAGAGTTCAATGCATTCCATTGTCATTTATGGCTGAAAATCGCTTTACGCCAAGCAGTGCTCCCACTGGCACAAAAATCATGATGCAGTAGTTTTAAGTCTACAAATACAGAGCCCATAGTGTTGTACTTCGTGAGTTGGGCCTTACATTCCAAAACTGTGATTATTTATGTACATATAATTCTTACCTTCTTTTGACAAATGGCAGATATTTCAGCTGCAAATCAAATTAAGAGTATTATTTGCATCGCCAACAAGGGGGGAAAAATTCATTGAGTGTATCTTTTAAAGTAGGGGTGTGAAACCTACAGACTGTGGGTCATATGCAGTCCTCGAGACCATTTGATCTGGTCTGTCAAGCGATTCTAAAAACACCTCAGAGCAACTGCATTTAAAAGCTCAATGGCCATTTCAAGCCAAAATGCTTTTTTTTTTCATAAATTTAGTACGGTTTCCAATCAATTTCAAATTGTCGCAAATAAGAAAAGGGATTCCCACCCCTGTTTTAAAGGATCACGTGCGACAATTTCTACATATTTATTGAATTCTTTAAAATGGGTGATAGACACTCATATGTACTTAAAACCAAGGTTAGGAATGCTCACCTTGGGGCAGAAGAACATCAACAAGCCATTCAGCGTGGTCTCTGAAAAGGTGGGAACAATGTGTAAACTAGGTTTTATTTACTGGCAACCCTCCTCCATATACGAGACAAGAAAATCAAACTTGGATAAAGAAAGAAATGATGGAAGGCAGGAAGGATGTCATTTCAAGAATGTTATGTCACTAAAGCAGAGGTGAGGATTCAGTAATGGAAACAAGGAAGTAGGGCTAGGTAATTTCCTTATTTCATTGCTTAGGATTGTTTTTTTTTTTTTTTTTTTTTGGTTTTTTTGCGTCTTCCGTAGTTCTCACTGCTGTGCATTGCTTGCCAGTTTAAAAAAAGCACAGTCAGTGGGACCGTGTTAGCAACTTTTCCAACCCCTTTAGCAACATTTTTCAAGTGAATATATATATATATATATATATATATATATATATATACAATTTTATTGGTAATCTTGGCTGGAAATACCTAGGATACCCCTTTTCAGTTTTTCTAGTTAGTCAAAAAACCCTGGCCTCTTGAATAGGAGGATTTCCTATAAATACTTGATATATAAACATTCTTTGCTCTGATTGGAAGAATGTTCTCCTCAAATTGAGTGCGGAAATCAGCATCCTCTGATTGGTAAATCGACGATATACCGGTATCTTTGTCGGTCATGTTGGGAATTCACCAGGTGTTGCATACCCGGCTATACGCTGACTGCACTCCTCACATATGTAAAGAGGAGGCGGCTTGTCTCCCAGGGCAACAGAAAGCGTGGGATCTATACACATCTGCAAAAGAAAAAAAACATGTCAAATCATGTATACTTGCCAATGCTATGTTAATAAACTGCACTATGTTATATTTTCTATGGGTGTCCCTCAAACAACCCAATAGTACAGTATTAGTACACTATTTCATCCTTGCTAAAGAAATACTGTCACACCACAACCAGTCTCTCCATGCCTCGCTATGAATGGCTTCCTGCATATGGTGCACTCTGCTCCCTTGCAACCTGTGCCTGGCAAAGAGTGCACTGTGAATTACTGTTCCCAGAACCTCCATCTCCAAGGGCTACGTGGGGTCACCGCTTCCAATTAAGCGTAGTCCTCCCCTCCCCCCCCAACAGCTCAAAGTAATTGAAATCCGTCTCCTGTCCCTGCTCCTGCTCACACTCTATTTGTCCATTTTGAGCATGGCTGCATGGAGGCAGACCAAGCAAATAAAAGAGAGCAACAAACAGCAGAGGCTGGTCTGTGTGCATCTGTGTGTGTGTGTGTGTGTGTGTGTGTGTGTGTGTGTGTGTGTGTGTGTGTGTGTGTGTAGTGATGTTATCATTACAGCTGCTTGGATGTTCACTGATTTATTTACCGTGGGGCTCACAAAAGCAAACATGCTGATGTGTGTGCTCGAACAATCTGCAGCATGCCACATGCACTCCCTGTAAAGTTCATGTGTGAATCTTGCAACACAGATCCTTTAACAACCACCAGCCCCCCCCCCCCAAAAAAAAAAACAACAACAACAAAAAAACAAAACAGAACAAGAGAAATACATTTAAGGCACATCTTGACTTGGGTCACCTTGACAGCAGGTTTATTGATGGCATTGTGGCACTCAATATGTTGACAGTGAATGGGGTTCCAGGCTGTTAGGAATAAATGGCAGTTGGGAAAATGGAGAGCTTTGGTTAGTTCAAGGACATTTAGAGCCGGGAGGTGAAATCTAAAAAAGATCTGACCGGTGTACTGCAGCCCTCGGTATTCACTGATGGCTCCCGGTGGTTTCAGGTTGGGCCAGTAATGAAAGAGCATCTGCACTGCTGGAGGCTTGACTTGTGATGGGCCATAAGATATGACGTAAAGAAGGTCCTGTACACAATAAATATGTCAAGTATACAAGACCTGTGGGGAAAACTCTCATTTAAAAAAATGACCCGAGTGGTGTTAAGAGAACGTTATTTTTATAATGGGGCATTAATATCTTTGTTGAGGCTTTGAATCCATTCTTAAAGCCACCGTCATCTCATTAGCTTGTCTGCTAACTGTGATGGCTAAGGGGCATTTAGCTTGGTGCCAAAGATGGGGAGAAATACTTAAAATCCACTCAGTAATGATTGAAACAAAGTCAATGAGAGGTAGCCAAATACCGAACAAGATATTCCTTGTAACTTGGAAACACTTTGCTGTTTCCTTCAGTTTTTACTTTGACTTTTAAGGAAAAGCTTAGTTTCCTATTATCTTACAAGTGGCGCACATGTGTGGTTCATTTTCCTCGACAAGAAAACACAATGTATTCAAATACACACAACTATTTCATTATCAACTCTGGAATTTGGTACATAGTATTTTTTATTATTTTGTGTATCTATAGGAAATCAACAATTTACCTAAGCTTGTGTTATTTTTTTAATATTCTTTAACTCTTTTTATTGACTGATATGTTCAATGCTTTTTAAAAGTTACATTATCATACTTATACATAGATAATACTAAGTATTGTATTTTTTTGTTTCATGCATGTGATACAGTAAAAAAAAAATCAACTGATGATAAAGACAATAAAGGAAGCTTTAAACTTCCATAAACATTATTCAAACTGCAATTTAAGTCAAAATCAGATAAAGATACCTTCCACACTTCCTGTTTGTGCTTCATTAGACACTCCAGCAACTGACAGTGATAAACTGGGAAAGAGCAGAGGTAACAATCATTTCATAAATTCTTTTACATAAACTATATGGATAAAAGTATTGGAATAGAACTTTTATGTTGAATCAATTCATCCACACGTGCCAAACTGAAGGTCTGAGGTCCAGATCTGGCCACCATCATTTTATGTGGCCCGCACAGGCAAATCCTGTGTCGTTTCTTGCGAAAATATGAAAATTGCAAATTGTCTTCACATTTACTAACATTGAGATACTGCAAGCATTTCTGTCACAATCTCCCTTTAAAAATAAATTGAAAAAACATTTCTACTGGATTCTGTATATGTGATAATATGAGGTATCATACATTTATATGAGTTGAAAGTCAAGGGCAGCAAACAGGGCGGATTACCTGGATTTGTAGTGTACTGCATTGCTATCATTAGCATAGAGGAAGCAGACAGATTAACATACGCTGGGACTCCCCCCTCCCTCCGCGTGGATCCCACTGCATTTGAGAGGGGAAAAAAAAGACTGTCAACCACTTGATTAACTTGATTTTGTGGTGCAGTATTTGCTTTATTTTTGAAATTTTGTACAGGTAGCGAGCGATATGTAGATTTTTCCTGTCTCTAATGCATATCTAGGTGGAGTCCATTTCAACACTGTACTTCAAGGAACAGGATACATTAATGTTCAAATTGTTGAACTCCAAAGATAAGTGCATGTCCCCTTTCCATCAACGCCAAAAAGATAACCTTAAAGTTAAAGTGAAGGGTACAAACTAAACTTTCTACTCTTTCTGAGAGTAGAATAAGCCTTTTCGACCTCTATGCTTGAAGTATATACACGCTTCATCGTAAGTCTCTAGAGTATGCCTATATGTGGAGATATTGACTTCATGAGGGCATACTCACATATGGCCATGGGAAGGAAAGAGGTGCTGAGGTACTCAATGATGTCTTTGTGGAGGAAAGGGGGAAATGTGGCTAAAGTGGAGATCATAGTATAGGGCAAAGTGCTGAGAATATCATCACTGAGAAAGGGCAGAAGGCAAGTTGTTGTGTAAAATATGGACTGGCCCAGATCTGAATAGAAAGAGGAGAGGCAAAAAAAAAAAAAAAAAAAAGACAAAGAGAGATACACAGACACTCATTCAATGAGCTGTACATACAGTACTCACATACTGGATGCAGCCACAGTGCTAAAAAACTTACATTACTACATTTCATCAATTATGAGTACAGTCATGAAAAAAAGGACAATCGGAACGCGCGCTTTCTTGGAAAGCTGCTAAAAGTAAAGTTTGCACTCAGTAAAAGTGGAGCATTCTAGTCAAGGTGATGGGATTTCATGCTTTCTGGCTTTCTTTACCAGGGGTAAAATATTCATGAGGAAAAAAAAAAAAGAGCACCGACTGCGAAACAAAAACTGGCAATCATTCCCTGGTATACTAACAATGTCAAACTTTGCCTGACAGTATGCATACGTTTTCCATTTAGCGTAATGTGCTTCCACATGAGCATAAACATTTCCGCCCACTGCACATAACAAACATGCAGTCGAATATGATGCACAGAAGAGGAGGCCAATGGCTGGTGTGTCCAATGGCTTATGAACGATTAGGTTGACAGGATCCAGCGTGCTCCCAATCACCCCATGCATCCCTCAAGATCCTCAGCAGGACTTCTCTCCATCCCGTTACAAAAGAGGCCAAAAAAGCGGAAGTGGCTTCATGCAGGCCAGGCGGCTCAGGGGGGATGATGATGACAAACAGTGGCGCACTGGGGCCTTGACTCACCATGCTGACCGTGCTGCAGCAGGGGCACCAGGTCAAGCAGGGTCACGAGGGTCACATAGAGGCCCTGATAGTCCAGAGAGGGGTACTCTGAGAGCTGAGCGTCCCGACTCTGCTGCCCCTGCCCCCCGCGGTCTGACGGGGCATCGCGCAGAACGCTGTAAAGGAGGGAGCGAGTAACTGTAGGGTTGATGGAACTGACTTGTGGTCTTAGAGATGGGGTGAGTGGGAATGGCACAGGAAAAAGACACATGGTCATGGGCACGGCCAATTTGGAAGCTTCCTGGTTCTCCTTCCTGCCTGTGCGGGACAGAATGCTGCTCCGGGATTGGGAGGGGGAGGGAAGGGGAGGGGAGGGGAAGGGGAACAAGGGAAAAAAAGAGACAACAAAGACACAAAAAAACAGCACATTACATTGAAATGGCACTACAGAGACAGCGTAAATAGAAAAAAACAAACCCAGATAAACCCCACATAGGATGCAGTGTCTCACTATTTGACTGGATTGCCCTGCTCGGTCTGTTCACAGTGACTTGGAATTCAATTTGCCTTGATATTGTCAAACTTGGAAAAAGAAAAACAAAAAAAAATATGAGCACATACTGCGATGATCACTGCATCTCATGCGTATCTGGTGACAAGGAGCAAAAATATAAAAAATGGCATGTTTTCAGTGGCAACCCCATACTTCTCCAAATAAAAGTGACAGAGCAAACATCTGTCCCTTGCTGGCTGCCTTCATCCAATCAGCGACGGCTACCATGCAAAAAGGCCAATGTGCGGGAGGGGAATTTGCGGGGAGGAAAACAACAACTGAAATTTCCTTGTCTTTAGTCGGGCTGTCAAGGATGGGAGTGACACCAAATTGGCTCAGGGAAAATACAGAGGTGACACTTTTGAAACATGCTTCAGCCAGTAATAAACATGTGTGTGAGGTTAGATCAAGTGCTCCTATTTCACAGCACATGTTTATTGCACCAGAGAAATAATGTCCGTATGCATACAATATGATACTGCACCAGTATCATCAGGAAAAATAATGAGATCCAACAGGCATATGGATTCAGGTTTCTAAAATAAATGCCACTAGTCTACGGTAGAGGAGAAACTAGAATGACAAAGGAATAGGTTGTATCAAAGGGGATGACTGGTAACAATTATGTTTGTGAGCTAATGCAGGATGGACAATTGTGTTTGCTGTCCCCTGGGGAAGGTGGTGGACATATTGAATCTTAAGGGGGGGGAAGAAAAAAAAAAAGAAAAACTTGTCGGGTTGAGTGTGGAGCATCTCGGGTGGAGGAGGGAGGGAGGGGGCCAGAGAGCATTGCTCTTTGATTGCACATTATACGAAGAACTACGGTTCTATTGGCAAAGAATTCATCCCAGATTTTAAAGGATGATGCATCTTTTTGTAAAAAGGCCATTTTCTTAATAGCGACATTCGGGCGGTAAATCAAAATGGGGTTGTTGGGGGGGTTAAATAAACATTTTTACAGGTTACATATTTTGAGCTTTTGCAGCTGAACGGAACGTTTTATGACTTGTCCACTCCAAGTTATACTGCTAAGTCACACAGAGTGGATGTACAAAGTGAACACACCCCTCTAAAAAATATATTATTTTCTGATGGAAAAAAGTTACCATGATAAATTTAAAAATATATATATATGTATATACTTACACACACACACACATAAATATATTTCAATTAAGTTGGAAAATACACAATTAGGGTTAAATATACAGAGAATAAGATGGCTGCAGAAATGCATGTCAAAAAAATAAATTTTTATAAGACAGCTTGATTTCTGTATTTTATTTATTTTGTGCTCTTTGATATATTTTTATATTTGTTGGCAGTTCTTTGCAAAAGTGCTAAATATGTTTTGAGGGTATCTTTTGTCCGCAGCCCTCTTCGGGTCAATGCCTCCCCTTTTGTGCATTTATTTTGTTCTTTTTTTTTCTTTTATTGCATTCAGGTCTGCCTTCTCCCTGGACCACTCCAAAATTCACCTGAGTAAAAAAAACAAAACAAAACAAAAACAAAAACAAAAAAGTTTTTTTTTTTTTAATTAGAGGGACTTATTGTGGGCTATTAAACTTTTTTTTCCAATCAGAAAAACCTTTTATTTCAGCAGGGGTATGTTCACTGTATCCACTGTATATCTTTGTTACAAAATCAAGTCAATACACAGACTGTTCCTCTGACTTTTTCACTGCCCATTTCTCATTTACAGAATACATTATTGAATTGAACCATGAACAATACACAGACGCACTCGCACGCACACACTGGACTGGTACACGCGGGCACACACACACACACACACACACACACACACACGCACACACACACACACACACACACA